TCAAAGCCAGGAGTCCACTGGAAATAGAGACCCAGAAGCAGATATGCAATGTATCACAACCACCCTCAGACAACTGGATCTGTCAGGTGAGAGAGCACATCCCAAACAAAGCCCTGCACGTTTTCTCTGTTTTCGGGTATTTACCCAATTCTGTATTGAACGTCCTTATTGAATCTGCTTCCACTAGCCTTCCAGACAGCGCATTCCACATCACAACAATATGTGGTGTCAAGGGAATTCCTCTCACCCTCCCTTTAGTTCTTTCTCATAAATGTAAATCTATGACCCTTTTGCCAGTTCAGTTTCTACATATCTGCTCTATCCAAATCCTTCATAGGGAAGGACTGAGGTGAATAATGCGCATGCATTTCATAGAAAGCTAGCTAAATGTACTAGTGAGAAAGGAATGGAAAGGTATACCATTTGAACTTTATGACAGCAAGAGGAAGAAGCAGCATGCCCTAACTGGGCCAAGTGGCCTCTTACTATGCTTCACTCATAAGTTGTTGGTCACCCCGCCAAGTATCTCCTCCTTTGGGTTTGTTCTAGGAATGGTTTCCATGTCTAAAACACTATCAATAAGCAGGCACTTGGTGGGGGAGACCGGAATTCCCAACAAACCCTAAAAGAGACCTTTCACTTTTTCACCCGCAGGATGGTACTGGGGTTCTCTCACAGCCAGCGAGGCCAAGCAACAACTCAACAAGATGCCTGAAGGAACCTTCCTCATCCGAGACAGCTCACACCCCAGCTATCTGCTGACGCTTTCGGTGAAGACCAATCGCGGTCCGACAAACGTCCGGATAGAGTACAGCAATGGCAAGTTCTGCCTGGATTCGTACTACTTGGCCAAGCCCAGGATCCTGGCCTTCAATGAGGTTCTCAGCCTCATCCAGCATTATGTCACCTCTTGCATCGTGGACCGGTATGACAAATCAGCTGATTCAGTGCCCCTGCCCCCTAAGGATACCGCCATCCACCTAAAACTCATCAAACCCCTTCACCGAAAGGATTCATTCCCCTCTCTTCAGCACTTATGTCGATTGGCTATTAACAGAATAACACACCAAGTGGATAAGCTGCCGTTGCCAAAAAGCGTCCAGGAATATTTGGAAGAATACCCTTTCCTCCTCTGAGATAGTGTTGGTTTTCTTTTTGGTGGAGTGATGAGTGAGGAGGGGTTTTGGTAGAGAAAGCACAGACCGTTTTGTAGGCTCCTGTTTCCTGGCTGAGAGATGACCACTCAATGGGTTTTCTGAGAACATTAATGGGTTTTTGTTTGAAACTGCACGTTGCGTGCTGGACAATTGAACAGACTTCCTTGGTTTCATTGTACTGGAGCAGGTCCTGTGGACTTATTCGAAAAACTAAAATGTGAATTAAGAAAGAGGCTAAGGAAGCAGACTGGAAAGACATAATATGGATATGCAAAGAAAAAAGAACTCTACAGCTTTTGTATTATTGAATGCACTTTGATTATTTTTAAAGTTACCTGTTTTTAAAAAAAAGTCAAAAACATTTTCTAATAAAGTATTATAAAACACATTAAAATTTCAGTGAGAGGTATATTCAGTGTGAAAACAAAAGTAGAGTTGAGACTACAGTAAGATTTTATCAAATGGCTGCCAAGAGCTTGAGGGGCCAAATGGCCTGCAGCATTTCCTAATTCTTGTGAACGGAACTGGTTGACAGCAGGAAATAACGTTTCCCTGAGGATATGGGGATCTCCTCAGAGGGTGGTTAGTTGAATTTAAACAAAAGGGTTTGATACAGTATACAACGAGAAACCTGTGAGTGGCAGATGGGTCAGTAGCTAAAGGACACAGACTAAAGGTAAGGGACAAAAGACCTGGGGGAGAAGTGAGATCCCTTTTTTATTTTTCAGAGCCATGAGATGGTAGCGAAGTTGACAGTGACTTTCAAAAGGCAATTGCACAAATAGAAAGGCAAAAATTCACAGGGCCTTGGAGAAACAGTAGGAAGGTGGGACTAATTAGACTGTTTGACCAAGGAACTGGCTCAAGAAGGATTGTTCGAATTGCCTCCATATGCACACCAAGATCTTTTAAATGAAAAGTGCTATTCTGGAAAGCCAGGCTCAGCCAACACATGAACTCTGCTGCCTGTGAAGGTGTCCTGCAGACACCTTAAAATTTTGTGTAGGTGTTTTTTTTTAATTTATTCATGAAAAGTGTGTGGCATTAGCTCAGCCTGCATTATTGAGAATTCCTGGATTCATGTGTAGGCCACACCAGGCAAGGACAGCAGATTTCCTTCCCTAAAGGACGTCAGTGAACCAAATTGGTTTTTACAACAATTGACAATGGTTGTCATTAAGTTTAGCTGTTAATTTGAGATTTTATTGCGTTCAAATTTCACCATCTGCCATGGTGGTATTCAACTCCATGTCTCAATTGCATTCACTGATGTTCTGGATCTGTCTTCAAACAACCACCTCCTGATCTACCTCACCTCACCACTTAGAATCACAAAATCCCTACAGTGCAGAAAGAGGCCATTTGGCTTGTAGAGTCTGCATTGACCCTCCAAAGAGCATTCCATCCAGACCTACCCCTCATCCTATCCCTGTAACCCTGCATTTCCCATGGATAACCCACCTAGCCTGCACATCCCTGGACACTACAGGTCAATTTCTAACATGGCCAATCTGCACATCTTTGGACTAGGGGAGGAAATTGGAGCACCCAGAGGGAACTCACGCAGACATGGAGAGAATGTGCAAACTCCACGCAGTTACCCGAGGGTGGAATCAAACTCGGGTCCCTGGTGCACTGAGGCAGCAGTGCTAACCACCCTGCCACCCTTCCCTAATGTCTGTAGTGTGTTGTGCTCTTTCTTCACACTGATCCTTTGCTATGCTTTGTTGCAGACAGTATAGAGTATCAGATGTCTGTCCATTACCTTCTCTGCCATCCACAATGCATTTTTGTAACCATTTTGCACCCTACAACCACTTGGTTAGTCTCAAAGCCCACAGGGTAGATAAAGTACATGCTTTGAACGGGTCATCCTCCCAGTCTGAAGCCAAGGTTGCATCATGAAGGGTACCACTCTACATCAATGGCTGACCAGGAGTTTTCTGCCTCATCTGCCTGTGATTGCCATGTGATAAAAGGATTTGCAACTTGACACTCAACCTCCGTTATGAACACTCCTTTCTCTGATCATCAAGTCGTTGAGTGAGACTTGAACCCACAGCTTCTGACTATTCTGTGGCACCATCCTTGTTCTAAGTGGGATAGATTGTCAACAGGATGCAGCACCTCAAATGTGAGCAGCCATAAGGCGCTGTGGACCATCTGAAGCAGCGGATCTGCGATCTCATAACCTGGCATTGCCTCCACTCTACCATCAAGCCAAGGGATAAACCCTGGTTCAATGAAGGGTGCAGGAGGACATGCCAGGAGCAGCACTGGGCATACCTGAAAATGAAGTGCCAATCTGGTGCGTGCTGCAACAGTCTATTTCCATGCCAAAGGGTGAAAGTAGTATGCACCAGAGGTAAGGAATCCCTCATGAATGGATAAGGTCAGTGGTTCTGTCATATTGGGATGTGAGTCGTTGTGGACAATTAACTCACTGGAGGTGTAGGCACCACATAAATAACCCCAGCCTCAATGATAGGGGAGCCCTGCACATCACTGCAAAAATTAAGACTGAAATGTTGAGTGGGTGATCCATCCTGGCCTCCTCCTAAAGTCACTGGCAGCTTGCGAATTGCTGATTCAAAAGGCCTATGGAATCTGGGCTTTATAAATAGAGTACAAAAGCAAGGGCGTTCTGATCAACCTTCTAACTCTGGATCAGCTTTTGCTGGTGCCCTTTTTGATCACACTACCAGAAATGAAGAAGATGTGAAGGCTTTAGAGGCAATGCATAAATGATTGTTGAAAATTGTTACAGGGATGAGGCACCTTGGTTGCATGGATGGACTGGGAAAGCTGGGCTATTCTTCTTAGAGAAGAGGAGATTGGGACTAGCCTTGAGAGAGGTTTCCACAAAGTATGGACTTGGTTGAGTCTCTGGTGTGGGTTTGCAGGCTGCAATTCTTGCATGGCCCAAGAGTTGCATTATGTGCATGGAGTGGAACAGGCTCATGCACACTCTGTCCACCATTCTTTTTCAACTTTTAATTGGCTCAGCCATGGCACTGTGCCTGCAGTGTTGTGGAAAGACCAAGGACCTGGACTGGTATGGACAACTGGACCATGGAACTTGGGAGAGCCATGAAAAGGTAAGCTATGTGTCAGGGTAGTGAATTAAGTTGTTGGTAGCAGGGAGAAGAGACTGTATCCTGAAACCAGGTACTCAGTCATTTGGGTTCAGAAAAGCCCTAGGAGTCAGTAGGTGCAGCTAACTGCTGGGACGCAGGCTCAGGAAGAGCCCTGGCAGCTGTCCAGAGTTGTAATGGCACAAAGATGTTTCTGACACATTAACAATCCAATGCAGTGGAGAGTAGAAGTGAAGGAAGCCCCCAAGCAGTATTGCTTGGTGCAACTGAGAAAGAGCTTGGAGAAACCCAGAAGCAGTGCTAGCTTAGAGAAGATAGTTGCCTGAGGAAATTGTGCTTGTGAGAAGATGCTGGAGTGCAGTCTCAAGAATTCATGGAAGCACAGCCCCAGGGAGATCAATCAATGAGGTTGTGAATGGTCGTTGAGAGGTCTATGATGGAATAGTTTTCAAGGAAGTTCTAAGGCTACACCTTTAAAAGTTAAAGAATTGGAATCTCTTGTAAAGGGAGGAAGAGGTTCTAATTAGCAACTTGGAGATTCCCTCTTCATTGATGTCAAGTGGGATTGTGGAGAAATCCATGGGATCAGCCTTGACCACATATACTGTTTGTTGTGCTCTATGGGGCTTTCAACCAGTTTGTCCTTTCCAGATATTTATCTCATGTTAATTCCAGATGTTAGAATATAAGTTTTACATCTATATTGTCAATTGTTTTACTGTTATAATTTTGTATATTAAATTTGTTTGCCCAAAACTGTGGAATATTGTGGCTTCATTCTCTTAGTCCCCTGAATTTCACACTTTGTCTACTTTTTAAAAAAAATACTGACCAGACTGTAATATATATATTCTGAGGAAGGGTCACCGGACCCGAAACATTAACTCTGTTTTTTCTTTCACAGATGCTGCCAGACCTGCTGAGCTTTTCTAGCAACTTTGTTTTTGTTCCTGATTCACGGCATCCGCAGTTCTTTCAGTTTTTATGTAATATATATTTGTCAGTTTCATCCAGGACCATAACAAAATAATTCATAATTCAGAATCATATGGTGTCTAGACAGGATAGTTGGAAGGAAACCGTTACCATAGCAGAGGACAACTACATGAGGCAAATAGCTAAATAAAAAATTGTAGAAAGAGGAAAATTTTTTTTATGCAGTGATTGGTTCAGGATTTCATAGAATCTCTACAGTGTGGAAGCAAGCCATTCGGCCCATCGAGTCCATGCCGACCCTCCAAAGAGCTTCCCACCCACCTCCCCACCCTATCCCTGTAACCCTGCATTTCCCACGGCTAACCCACCTAGCCTGCACATCCCTACACATTATGGGCAATTTTACATGGCCAATCCACCTGCACATCTTTGGACTGTGGGAGGAAACCGGAGCACCCAGAAGAAAGCCACGCAGACACGGGGAGCATGTGCAAACTCCACACAGACAGTAGAAATGCACTGCCCGTGAAAGTGGTGGAGGGATGTTCAATCACAGCTTACAAAGTGGAGTTGGATAAGTACCTGGAAAAGAAGCAGAGGGGGATGGAATAAGGTTATCAAGGGCAATAGGAAAGTCTTTCCATTAGAGAGACAATTGACGATGTCTAACCTGAGGGTAGGCACTCCACAAGCATGAGATAAGGTAAGGAGACACACTCTCCATGAGCTACCATAGCTGGTATGACAATGGACCTTCTGTTGGCATTACTCACAGGGTAAGGACATGTGCGGATTTGCAGAGAGCTGAAACTGCGATCAGAGAGGGATTCTCCAATTTTTTTTCCCCTGTTGCAATTCTTGGAACTTCCCGGTGATTTGCAGTTGTTGTGTAGGAGGTTATGAATTGGCAAGCACCAATTCTTTGGAAAGTACTTTACTAAATAGTGCACTGTCAGTCCACCAAGTTAATGAGGGTTACTTTGACATTGCACCATGGTTTGAAATGTGCTGTAGTGAATCATTGGTCATGGTTCACACTGCGATCAAACTGAATTTCCATCAGTTCCAACGAACAAAATCAGCAACAGCCTACATTCATGTAGCACCTTCAATGCAGTGAGATGTATCAAGTTGCTTTCCAGGACCATGGACACCAGTCCACATCAGGGAATATTAGGGCAGACAACCAAAGTCTTTGGCAAAGAAATGGGTTTTACTGAACATTCTAAAGGAGGAGAGAGAGGGAGATACATGGAGAAGGAATCCCAGACAGTCAGAGGCATGACCACCAATGTTATAGTGCAATTAAATTTGGCCATAATTCAAACTTTGTGAGTGTAGAGAACTTGGTGGTTGA